CAGGAATGGGTTTGTGGAGTTGAAACAGTTGGTGCCAAGGACCCAGCGCCCACAGTGTGTGCATTTCAAGGTTTTACTTCAGTTTAGCTCTTGTCTGGTCCTTATAAACTGAATGCATAATGGAGGCTGGAGTACATTTTGGATGAATCTCGTTCATGTGCAGAGACCATGCAGTTTCAATTAGGGGAGAATAAGTGGGCACAATCTAAACTGCATTCCTGAGCTGAGCTACTAATGCAGAGTCATCCTCAGTCTTCTGAAGCAACTTGTCTTCCTCCATGGACTGTACATGGGAGACTGAGTGGCTAAGTAGGAGGCCTAAAATTGGTTACCTGAAATGGAAGTATTCCTCCTCCAAGCACATTCATTGTTTTCAACTGTTGTTCATTATTAATATTCTGAAATGCTTCGCTGACTCAAAACACTCTGAAATGCTTTCTAGCCTAGTAGTCATCACTGGGACCTTGATATGGATGGTTGACCTTTTCTAAAGCCTAACTATTACACAAAATCTTTAGTCTTTTTTCTTTTCCTGAAGAAGTTGAAGAATCCATAGAAGGGAGGAAACTTGAGGAAGTGTCAATTTTTTCACACACTGCACAAGTCTCCATTCTGCCCTCTATACTAAACCATCTAGCAGCTGTCATCACTACAGGGCTGGTCTGTGTCTGCTTTGTCAGAGATCAGATTTGGTACAGGAGTTCTTTTTTTACCATAGATACACTGTACAGTGATGGATGATAGATACTGCCTAAAATAGCACACATAGAAGAGACATCTCTAGGGTAAGCACGTAAGATTTATGAGCCCACAGGTGCCTGTAAATTGCCTTAGCATCCTCACCAATTACCTTTGCTGAGATGAAAATGACATGGAGCAAATAGAAGGTAAGAATGTTTGTAGAAAGTACCTTAAATATAATATTCATGCTTATGAAAGTGTATATGTGTGTCTAAAATCCAATTGTGTAAGATGTGTATGTATGTTAGGAGCTTAGGGATTAGTTGATTCTGTTGGGGGAAACTGCTGAGTCTCTCAAGCAGGCTATTCACTACTGCCCTCCTTATTCTACACTGCTCCATGAGTTACTTAACTCCAGGTTGCTTCATCTCCTCTGCCTCCACTTCCATTCCCTGGAAAATACAAAACATGAAAAGAACATTTAATTCCACTATCTGCTTCCCCAAATTATGTTTTTGTCTCATTTATGCAGAAAGTAAATTTGTTCTGTTTTAAAAGATTTCTGTCCTCGCCAGCTAGTATCATCATACTCTGGGCTACTGCACTGTATGTACTACAGTATGTGTTAAATTATTGCTCTTCCTGTGGTGAATAGCCTCCATCATGACAACCACGTGGAAACAAAGAGCAGACACCTCTCAAAGACCGGAAAGGCAGCGATTCAGATACTTACTAGACTGGCAAGCTCATTTTCCCACAAGTGAACAAGTTATGACTCACTAGTAAAAGATGTAACAGATTTTTAATACACTGCCCTTAATTTTAACAACCTCCTGGGAGGGGATCAGTGGGAGAGGACTTTTTATCTCAGGCCATAAGGTTGAAGTAATTATGGTCCTGCAAGCAGAGTGTTTCAGCTTTTTAGGTTGCATTCAAAAGTAACCAGCCTAAACTTCAAGCAGATTGGAAGAACCATAAAAATTAGACAGACCAAACTGTGAATAAGAACATAAAGTTGATTCACTTGTAGCTACCTGGTGCAGGATATAGACAAAACAGATATTTATCAGATGTTAGAGTGACCCTGTGCTTGGGATTATGGACAGTGACATGCAAGGATTCAAACTGTATTTACTAACAAACAGTTGCAGTCCCTTTATCAACAGGGACGCCACTGCAAACACCAGACAGACCAGCTCTTCTACCAAATGGCCTCTCCTCTCCATCCATTCTAAGTCACAAACGGCAAAGGGGTTGTTCATTTCCCTGTGCACTCAAAACTGTCCTGTGGGGAGCCTGGGCTCCCTGACTGTCATGTGGCATGTCATTGCAATGCCTAATATACAAACTCCAAGTAGGACAACCAAGGACAGGCGAAAGTAGGAAGTCTGGTCGGTGAGTTCCACAGCCTTGAGGTGAAGAAGAATGGCTTATGTGATCATTTCAGAGGCAAATCATTATAAATGGAAGTCCTGTTTCATAGGAACATGAGGAGACAAATGGAGAGACAGCAAATCACTAGAAATCCTTTCCATCCCCTTCAAATATTCAAATAGAAGCAGCAAGTCTGTGTTCCCAAATGCTCACAAACAATTCTCGGCTTCCAGATGACTTCTGGGTGAGTAGCTCTTCTGGGTGACTAGGTTTTAACACCATGTTATTTCCCTCCTAACACTTCCTCTGCATGGGGGATGTCAGTGGCTTTTCACTCTTTGGGGGAAAGGGGTTGTTTTCTGAATGGGAAGGAGGAAAGAAACTTATGAAGGAGAAACCCCGTGGGGCTGGTACTCTCCACACCAAACTCATTGGAGAAGGGAAAAGCACGAATCCAACTGCTTTGTAAAAAGGAGTGAAGTAGCATCAACTCCTTTCAGTACTATACGTTACAGCAGCAGCACAGTCACAGAGATACTTCTAATCTCATGGTTTTCCTTTGATGTGTAGCATCTGGGGTGTCTGGAAGAGCAGCTTATCCGATTCCCACAGGCAGGTTATAGACCTGGGTCTCATG